GGAATTAATTAGCTTATATAGGCAAAACCATTAGGCACCCTAAGGGGATTAGTTTATGGTCTTCACAGCAAATGGCAAACAGATTCTGTGGATTGAGGAAATGATGATTAGGGATTGAAAGCTCTCTCAATCAAACCATGCAAACTACAACATTATTATTATAACTTAATAGCTCTGTTTATACTCCATGCCACAAAAGTTTGTGGCCCAAGTGCATGCATGGACTTGTATTCAAATGCCTTTGTACATACACATAGCAGTGAAATGATTATTTGGCCCTCTCTCTCTCTCTCACTGTCTCTCTCTCCGATGACGACACTCTGACATATGGCAATAGTGTGATACTGTGGACAGAAAGGGTTTGGCAACAAAGACATGATGATGATGAAGAGTGACATAGAAAGGTTGTGTGTTGTGTATGTATCAGCCAATGCAGAGGCTACCTCTGTGCTAGTCTCAGAGGCTCTCAATACTCTCTGCACCCTCTTCTTTTTTTCTCTCTTTTTCCCTGCTTCTTCTTCTTTTTCTTTTTCTTTTTTTGTTCTTTTTTTGTTTTTGCATTTTCTTTATGTCTCTTTCCCAAACTAGTACAATTTATTGTATGTTTGAGCCAATTAGCAGACATCATGACCTAGATTCTACAGCTAGAATCCTGATTTTCTTTCAAAAAAAGAAAAAAAGTGCATGCACCAAAAAAAAACAGTACCCAAATGATCCTTTTGTGATTTATGAAATGGGTCCCTGTAACCCAAGTTGATGCCCAAATTGCAGTTGCATGGGCCCCTGAAAATTTGTATGGTTTCTTTGGGTGCCTACTTGCTGGTTGAGTTTGAGCTGAGTTGGGCACTTGGGTCAAGTTCTTTTTTCTTTTTCTTTTTTATATTGGGAATTTAGGGTAGACTTGGGTTTGTCCATTTAGGTTTGGGCTGGATCTGGATTGGAACAACTTGCAACCCAACCCCCCAACTTATCCCAAGACCAAGCTGCCAAACTAATCCAGATCTGGACTGGATTGTACTTAGGCCACTGAGTTTCTTGTACTAATCATTTTCTTCCTTTTAGGTGTGATTCTTTGTTCAGACTAGATTTAGTATGAACTGTTAAACCAAAAATTACAAGCAACAGAAGCTCATCATGATAAGATCTCTGTTAAAAAAAACAAAAAATCATAATGTTATAAGATCAAAGAGGTTTAAGTTCTGTGAGAGGAGTTCAATGAAAACCAATTGTCGGAGTTCTAACATATACAGCAGTATCTCGATACCTCTTTTTTCCACATGAGAATAGGTCCTAAATTCAAATTTAAATATGATAAAAGAAGCTAAAACTTGGATGAATTGTAAGGATATGTGTGTTTTATTCCATTTTGAGGAACTGAGTAGGAATGTGCCGTTGAATATAGAGATTTTATATACAACAAAAAAGTCAATTTTGAACTTAAGTAACCATACATTATATATGCCTAATCTCTTGGTCAGGACCAAATACAGTGTCTCAAACTTTTGCTTACCGTGTCTCAGCTGACCCAACCACACTCAACAGATTTTGCCACCTCCAACTATTTTAGACCAAATCTTTGAATCCAACAGGTAGTTTTTGGGTGATTGCATATTTGCCTACCAAATGGTTCTCACTTCCCAACCATCAAAGAAAGATGGCTGTTGACCTCATCCACTATTGTCATAAAATAATCTTAGAAAACCCATCAAATTACTCACATTGTCCAAAAAAAATATTTAAAAGACAAGAGAAATTTGATTTTGATCCCAATTGGTCTCATAGCCATCCCTAATATTAACCTTTGACTAATGGGAAGCTCTTCTCTGTGATTGGTTCAATTTTACTGTTCTGGGTTCTGAGCTGACAAATTTTTTAAAATAAATATAAATAATAAATCAAAGTGGGTACAAGCCAGTGGCCAATATTTTATTATTGCCCTAATTATTATTGTCTTGTTTATTTTGGCCATCTTTTGCCTAATGTCACATACCTGCAGAGAGGCATAGAAATAATTATAAAGAGAAGCATGACAATTACATAAGTTTTTATTAATAGATTATTTAATTAATATACTTTAATGGGAAAAAAATAAATTAAATGAGTATGCAAAATGTGAAGGGGTGAGTTCATGATGGTCTCTGGTCTTCTTCCTTTCACGTTCCTCTTGTCTTGACCTTCTCTTCTTCAATGTCCACCAATCCCTTCATTATCAAATCAATTTCTTATTAATTAATTTAATACCGTGATAATCAAAGATTAATTTCTTCTTAATTGCTATGATTTGCAAAGGTAATTAAAATGCATGACCAGAAGTGGATTGATTGACTGACTTAACGAAATGGATTTGCTTGTCGTAATTGTAAGATTCCACCAAAGCATTTGTGTGTATACCTCCGGCACGCAATCAAACACGAACATTCATCTTCTTGAATATGTATCTCCAAAGTATCTTCTAAACTGTTCAAGGAAGCAACCCCATCAAGCTAGACTTCATTCTCTAGCCTACCATTGCGTGTGAAAGAGGTCCTTTTTCTTCTCAAATGAACTCCCAAGCAGTTTATGTGTAAGCTTTACAACCACATAATGAAGTTCTTGACTTGTATTATACCTCTTACATTTTGGGTATTAAAATCATGACGAACAAGTAAATTCTTCTCCCTGAGTGAAAATTATTAGTTCAGCTCAATCCATTAAAAATTAGTCCACTCCACCACGACAACTCCTTATACAAAGTCAGTTAGTCACCCATATATAATAAAAAGAAAACGAAGATTATAGCATATCCTTTGAATAATTCATGATTCCACTTTTGCACATAATACATATGTTACTAGGTATCGATTTAAAACCATTGATTAAACAAATTCTTGTTTTTTAAGTACAATTCGGGATCGAAAGGCCGAGAAAGAGACAACATTTAAGCATTTGCCAAATCACTGAAGTTCTTGTTCAAATAAGTAAACTAAGAATTTGACAGCACCCCACCTACCAGATCAGTGGCATTATCCAAATGGAGAAATATAAATCATATGGATTATTATTATAGTAGATGCACCTGTAAAACCAACATTTAAGTCTAATTGATGACAGGTTACTCCAGAAGGGACATGACTTCTTCTTGTTTTTTTAAGTAGGGAAGGGAAGAAGAATAATTCATTGACAAAGCAATTACAAAACAAAAAAATAATGAAAAAAATAAAGCAGCTTTAATTGTCAAGACTCAAGACCGCGTTTGGAGGAAACAGCTTTGGTCACACGGCAAAGCCTCGCTTTCACACTGCTGTACGAATAAGCCATTTTCATTACTCAGCTTCTGAAGGCGTACATACTGGAGGGAGAGTAGTAGTGGAGTGCGTCAACACGACTGCGTTTGTGTGATGAGACGAGTACGTTGGAGAATAATAAAAAGCATTAAGCAAGGTATTTATTTATATTTGAATGTATCTTCAACAACATACGTATAAACATTTCATTTACGCGTATGAACATCTTTAAATTATTAAAATCAAATGAGAAATTCTAGTTAGTTACCTTCCTTTTTTATCTTCTTCTTTTCCTACATTTATTTATTTATTTATTGTCCTTTCTGTCATGCAATGTTTTATGATAGCCAAAACTGTTCATTTTCGAGGTCATCTTTCAAAACTCGTTTCTTTGTAAACTCAATCAAATCGAAATATCGTGTGATAATTTAGTGTGTGATGGGTATGTTGGAATATGCATTAATAGTGTGATAATTCAATGGTTAATATAACACTGGATTCATCTATTTATTCAATAACAATGATATGATTGAACGATTTCTGGGTTAGTTAATTTTTTAAGAAAGACAATGACAACCTAGAAAATAGACAATTCTGATCATCAAATTACGTTATAGAATAAGAATGGAAAGAAAAAGTAGTTAGCATTTCCTTGCTCAATCATACCAATCATGTACGCCACCATTTATTCTTGGAAAACAACAAAAAAATGTCTACCTCCGTTCCTTACATTTGCAAAACAATATAGTCCATGTGAATTTATACTCAAAATTATTAAAATAGTAGGCAATCACAAGTGTCCTAATTAAGCCACGCAAAAGCTAAATCGCATTAAAATTATTGGGTGTGGCATACATAAATATTATATATATATCATATCATAAAATGATGCTCTTTAACATGTGCATTAAAGGCATGAACCACATGGGAGGCTACCATGGGTTTCATCAGCCTATTATCAACATGTGGTTCCTGGTGGTGGCCTTGGCCTTGGCCTTTGCCTATTCTTTGTCTCTCTGTCTTCCTTCGTGCATGTCTGTTTTCTTTATGCACTTGGCTTTACACCTCTCTCTCTCTCTCTCTCTCTCTCTCTCTCTCTCTCTCTCTCTCTCTCTCTCTCCCCCCGCCATCCCCAGTACTAGTGCATGCATTTGCCTGCTGTGCCTGCGCTGTTCACGCTGCATTTCTAATAATACCACACCCCACCGCCTTAATTAACATATTTAAAGAAGAAAATTAACTGCACAAAACCAAATTAACTAAACACCTTGACTTGAAAATCAAAAACAACACACAACAAACGTGGGTTAGATCAGTTGGTTAAGTTTGAACCATACTTCTCGTAAATTAGATTAATTTTTTACTAGTTTAGAATATTATTTGTAAACAAAATCCAAATTTCACTATTACTAATAAAAAAGAAAATTAAAGAAAAAGATCACAGCACAGGATTAACCAAATTTGTTTTGGGATACTCGGAAGAAAGGATAAATTCATTATGATTATGTATCAACACGATGAGTAAAAAAATAATACCCAAATCGAATTGATGATAAAATATTAATTAAGTAACCAATTGGAGACTAAAACCATTGTTCACAAAACAATGAACGAATTGAATTCTCTGTACAGCATGCAACAACTCATCAAAAGAAAATTTTAGAAAGAAGAAAAGTAAAAACATGCAGCTAGGCTATGGCTATTGAGCTTTGTAATTCACGTAAATATTCTCCCAAATCAATCTCGACCCAACAGCCACCGCGGTTTCTTCCCCGGCATCGGACTCTGCACCTCCTGCTCGACAGATAGTTGACTTTTCTTGTCGCCGCCGAACCCCGGCCAGAACTCCGGCAACGCCGGAAGGTTCAGGTCGAAGCCGCGTTGACTCTGGTGACTGTGATTTTGACTGTGGCTGTGGCTGGAGGCCCCAGCGCCTCCGCCTTCTGACGTGGTGAGGGCGCTGGTTGCCCCGCTGCCGCCGTCGTAGTGACAGCGCTTGTGGCCGCCCAGGGCCTGGCCGGTGGGGAAAGTCTTGTGACAAATAGAACACTCATGGGTCCTACCGCTTGTAGTGGCGGCGGCGGTTGACGGGTTGTCGGTGGAGTTGACGGCGGCGGAAGCCGCAGAGGAGTCTGACTTGCGGTGGCTGGCCTTGTGGCCGCCGAGGGCTTGGTAAGACGAGAAGGCCTTGTTGCAGACAGAGCACTTGTAAGAGAGCTTCAGAGCCGGCGGTTGAGGAGGTAGCTCAGCATCTGCGTCGGCGCTGGTGCCGCGGGCGAGCATGATGAGGCAGAGAGCAAGGTACTCTTCCTCCGTTGGTGGGTCGTCAACACGTGGCCGCTTAGAGCGCTTCCTCTTGGCCCATGGCTCCTGGGACTGGTTGAGGAGACGATCCTCCACTTCCTCAAAAGATGAGAAGGGAGGGGAAGGGGTGCTGGGGGATTTCAAAGCCTCCAAGGCCATGTTTGGCGTGCCTGAAATAATACGATGGCCGAGAGAGAAAGATGTAGACTGGTTTGAGTGGGCAAGAAAAAGGTGTGTGCTTCAGAGAGAGAGCTCAATTTGGTGAAATATTGGGTGGTGTTTTTATTTTGGGTTTTTTTTTATGTTTTGGGATATTGGTGGAGAGTGAAGAAGAGAGATGTGGTATTTATATGGGTTTTGGGAAGAGTTGGTGAGGGAGAGTGAAGTCGGTCAACTAAGAAAAAAAAAACAGGGGTGGAGTTGGAGTGGGAGTGGAGAGAGGGAGAGAGGGAGGTGAAGAGGCGGTGACTCAGAGCTTTTGGTTGGACTTTTTCAAGTCAAAACAATTGTATGCTTGCGTTGATTTGCTTTTACATCCACAAAACGAAGCAAATCACACTCTACTTGGGTCCTAGGGCGTGAACAACACGGTTCAACTTTTCTTTTTTTAAATAAAGTTTTTTGGTAATTTTTTAATTATTTTTTGTTTTGGTAATTAGTTGGTAATTTTGGTAATTACAAGCCAATTAGACTCACAACTTTGCCTAGAAAAGATGGATAAAATAATGGGAAAGGGAAGTGTCCCTAAACTTAGCATGATGTCATTGTGTTTAACAAGAAAGGAACTAATTACTACTTTTGATTAAATTATTTTTAGCACACTAAAAACAATTGATCGAATTCTACATCATGGGTACTTATCAAAAATAAAAATAAAAGAAAAGGCTTCACTTAGAGACTGTAGTGACATGGACACATTATGACCTCATTGTGGGTATACCATAGACACCAAATCAAATTGCAATTGATCATGTTGATATAATTTACAAGAGGGGAATGGAAATTCTTTTAGAAGAGTAGTATATAAAATTTGTTTTAGCTAAAAATTAGTATATAATCTTATGCAATTAGATGTAGAATTCAAATACTTCGGCCATCAAGATAAAAAATAAAAAAACACTTTAAGTGGCTTAGTCTTGACTATATAAGTAGATTTAACCATTCACAGTTGATTACTTTTTCTTGCAAAATGCTATAAGAGTTGTACTTTGAATAGAGTCGCATAAGAGCGCGTGAGTTATGTGAAAATTATGGAGAATACGCATAAATGACTCATCAGATTTGAATTAATAAATTTAGAAGATCTTCTATGATCAAATAAATCATATTTGAATTAAATGCTTCATCATTCTTATCAGATCTCCATTATGTTTTAGTGATTATAGATTTTTTTTTTAATTTATCAAAAGTGATTATAGATTGTTTTGAATAAAAAAGAGAGATAGTAAGTGACGGCTGAAAAAGATAAAAAGACGAAAGATATGTTTTAAATGAATTCAGTATAAGATTATTAAACGATACGGTTAGTGTGTGAATAATGACATTGAGGTTGAAGGTGAAGATAACGGCATGACACATATAAAAATGAATACGTATTATAACAAAAAATTATCATATGAGCGATTTATTTTGGGCCATTCTGCCCACGAGTTGCATTTAAGCTTACAACAAGAGAGTCAATCCGATTGTGCACCGAATACACAAATTATGGTGTATGTTTTAGTGATTTTGCTAGGTTAGACCCTTTTTTGCCCACTCCTAGATGTCAAGGTATCTGCCTATTCAATTTCATAATTAATATTTCTTGAAGCACATGAGTAATGCTAGGTATCAACACCAAAACAAATCTTAATTCCGTCACATACTTAATTACTTTTTTTTTCCCCCTTACACTATCTAAAGCTCTTTTTATTTTATTTTAGTGATTGCTTCCTTAGGACATTCGCAATGGTTGCTCAATTATTCATTTTAATAGTTCAATTTATTGAAATTTTTTGGTAGCTACTGAACTGAACTGCAGTTTCATTTGCAGTGGTGCAGTTCAATAACTTATAAATTAAAAAACTATATTTTTTAAAATATATTTTTCAATGATTGAATAAAGTTAATTACGATAAGAATTATACAATTAAAATAGTTTCAAAGAGATCTTTAAAAAGAGAACAATTTTGAATATATATATTAACAAAATTAATAACAAAATTTTCTTCGGTTGTTGACAATATTATATTAACACTTTTTTCTGAATAATTGGAAATTGAGATTAAATGAGAACACATCAAAGCACCTCTTTTTCAGGTTAATGCATAACAAAATTGAATATGAGTGATCCATTTGTGTATTTATAGGTAAGTAACTAGCCGTTTGAAAAGGGAACTGGCCATTTGTGTTTTTAAAAAGTGAAATAAATTAGCAATGGCTACTATATATATAATTAGCTATTTTTTCTTTTCTTTTTTTAAAGTGAAACAAACAGTAATAGCTAGTATATATATTAAATAGATTTTTTTTAAAGTAGTGAAATAAATCAGAAACTGCTAGTTGCTTTGAAAAAAAAAGGTAATGGCTAGTTTACATTAATTAAATGTAATGGAAAATTTTAAAGTAAAAAAAAGGGTAATGATTTCCCCACTCCAATTTTATCCACTTACACTCCATTTTATAAAAAAAGGAGTGTAAGTGGATAAAATTGGAGTGAGGAAATCACCACTCAAAAAATAATATTGTCCATGTAAGAAAGAGTTGTAGAGTTATTATGGTGAGTGAGCTTATTGAAATCAGAGTTCATTTGATATCTGAAATGAAATGAACTTTACCACTACAAGTCAAAAGTTCAATTTATTGAAATAAAATTGAAATTACCCTCACAATTGCAGATGCTCTTAGGCTTCAACAACGATAACAATAGTAATGTTGTAGATACCAAAATAAATCTTACAAATTTGAACTTGAATTGATATTCTAGTGTTTTATTTTCTAATGTTTAGGTACACTATAAATTTTGTTTATTCTAATAAGGCATTATCCTATCATTTACATATTATATTTGGTTAAATTCAAGAAGTTATGATTCCAATACTATGCTTAAGGAAAGCAAAAAGTGCTTTTTTTTTTCTTCCTTGGTAAGTAAGTAAAAAGAAGCAGAAAGTCAATACAAAGAAAACCCGCCCCTTAAATGGTTTTACTCAACGGAAACCAACCCCACACACAATCCTATTACGTCTTGGCTTACGCGGCGGTGAGGTGAGAAATCAAGTACGAATGCTAGCTTCTAAAATTTCCAAAAAATAAACTCAAACTTGGAATTTTCATATGTTGCGAAAACCAATTTGGGTTTGATAGCGATCATGAGTGTGACCACAACAATTCCTCTAGCAATTATACTGTAGTAAAATAGTAGTGCTACACTACATGGTATAATTTGTCCACGTATTATAATATAATTGGATTTACTCATCTACCTTATTTTCCCACCCATCATGTAAATTTGACAAAACACAATCCTAACGTTATCTCATACTTAAAAAGAAGGCATTTGATAGAACAATCACATAATTGTGCAAAAAGTTGCAGTTGAAGCAATGGCCAATGAAGAGTTGCTTGAGAAATTGCGCAATCTGCTAAAAAAGGGGGAGGCAAAGAAAGAGAGTGTTGCTATTATCTTCCATTATATGATGGAAAAAACCAGAAGCTATTATTTTCAATGTGCAAATAAAGAGAGTGTTGTTGTTTTTTTTTCTTTTTAAAATTTATATGGTGTGTGGAAAGATAAGATGAGTGGAGAAATAAGACATGGATGGAAATAACAATACTCTTATCGATACTATTCCCTAAAAAGAAGAAGAAAAATTAACATTATCGTCTTCACTCATATTCTAACACATATACAAAATATATCATGTGATCATACTTTAGTATTATTATATAATTTCTCCGATTTTTCCGGCTCGTAGCAAATTTTGATTGGTTCATGCTCTTCACACGTATATATAATATAAGCATGTGGGTCCCTTCTGTAACCTTTTGAACTTTCCATATGTAGGCCTTGAGCTTGTGACTTGGGACTTCTCTTGAGTGCTGGCATTTTGAGTAGTTGTTTGGTTTGTAGTATATAGTTTTTTGGTTGGTCTTATGGAAAGACAGCTAAATCTTGCGAGGAACATGCATTATTAGCCACGTGTGCTTTATCATTCCCATGATCATCCTCGTTGTTTTCTAGAAAAAACCAAGCTCATTCGGTACGACCAGAAGCTTACCAAATTGCCCTTCTTATTTTTCAATTTTCAAGACCGGAGACTGAGAGAATTCCTATTTTTATTAATCTTTTTAGAAGACTAGACAGACATTGAATCTCAACTCCATGTTTTAAAAGTAAACGCTTTTACTATTTCATGTCACTCGTTAGGGCTGCTTCAACCCACTTTCCTATATCATTTCCTCGTTTCTTTTTCAACTATTGATGATATGCTAATTTATTACTTTGTTTTTTAATGTTTTTGTTTTGTTTTGTTTTGTTTTGTTAATGAAATATGAGTGATTAAAACTTCGGGTTGTTCGAAAGATTAACATATTTAGGAATCTCCGTTTATTTTCAACTCCACTAAGTATGATTTGATCATAATCAATTTTATAAGAATACTTGAGTATTGAGCATTTATTTTTGAGAACTTAATTCCTTACGATGAGTATTTGTTGTAATTCTTATACTTCCTGATAATGTTTTGTCTTGTGGGAATTTTTTTTAAAAATCATTAGACTATGAGTTACGTAATATTCTATCGTTTTAAAGTTGTTGATGCAGGTGCTAATCATTTAGATCCGCAAAATGAGTTTGTGAAAATGTTGTTTAAATATCCATGTAAAAATGAAAAAATGAAAAAAGATGAAAAAAATATATATACTGTTCTCTTATTTCCAAGCCTATTTGCAAGGGTATTTGTGTAAAATCATTGGTCAGTGAGCTTAGCACAGTAAGGAGTCAGAGTGGACTATGTAGAGTGGCTTCAACGACGCGCAACTAACCGTCAAGCATACGACACGCTACGCGCTTCTCTCTTTAATCATGGCCACGTGGCTGTCTGTGTAGTCTTAAGTTCCACAATTTTAGATAACGGACAAGCAATTGCATAACAACAACATCAAGCCGTCCATCTTTTGGGAGCATCTGAGAAAGTGCCAGGTGGGAGCTGCTGATGACTCATTGTGCCACGTGTTGCGACTTTTCGTAGTTGAGCATCCACTCTTACCAAAAACCCTAGTGGTTCACACTAACTCATGTTTTGTAACCCATCACCGTCATTCCTTCGTATATTTTGATACGTACTTACAAAAAAATACTTGTCCTCAATGAAAACTATCACTCTTCTCAGAATTCGACTCTCGTTCCTTTCATTAATTTAGACTAGTTTCATCAATTCAATCAATTCAAAATGAACCCAACTACTTTTAAACGAAGATTTTTCAACGAGACTAATCCGAACCGTGCCCACTTTACATTAGTATAGGATATGCAATGGAGTTCTAAATCTTCTTAATAAACCCTGAACCATAAGGCACTAGAGAGAGAGAGAGAGAGAGAGAGAGTTAAACTAGTGGTACAGTACTTAAGCCAAAGAAATGGAGAAATACGTAAGTTTGTGGTCCAAGTCATAGTGACAGAGTGGCGTCAAACTTGGGCACACTCCATAACAAGCACTACCGTACAAGTTTGGAGTAGCACAAGATAAGATATTATTCTAAAAGTGAAAGAAGATACAAGCAAGGCAGGCTGCTGAAGTCACGCCTTTCATAATCACTTCCATCGTTTTATAAATTCTAGGGTTTTGGCTACCTAATTAACAGGGAAATGAACATTTTTCACACACACACAATCAATATGTCATGAGGGTTCGAATCTGTGACCTCTTAATTGCAAGTCACGGTCATTTTCACTAGACTAAACCCTGTTGGCGAAACAATTTCATTTTTAGTTGTAGAAATAATTTATATATTTTTGCCATGTTTTGTGTTGAGGAAACAAATTGGAAACTTTAAGAAAATGGGGAAGAAATGGCTATCCTTACCTTTGTAGCTGACATCCAAAAATTTCTTTGTTAGCATTAAAAAAAAGTTATTTATTATATTTTGCAGTTCTGCCATTAAAATTTTCAAGGATTTAATTATTTATTTTTTACTCACACCACATAGTTATAGATTAGAACGAACATTTGATTGACTGGGGTCTCCAGTGAACACCATAATTGGGCTACTGTTGACGCATTCAACACACTAAATTATCAATTTGACAAAATACTTAGTTTGGATTTGTCTGAATTGGGCCTACCTGGTCATCAAGGTTGCAAAATTTTATAACGAGGAGGACCACCATAAGTGGACAGTAATTATTTATCATTGACCGTCGTTTTCAAGAAACAAAATGATATACTCATCTTGGGCTGTATAATTGTGTTATTGGGCTGGTTTTTGTTATGGGTTCACTTTCCTGGGCTGCTTTCTGTTTGCATAATCCACATAGTATAGAAATAAGGACGGTTATCTAGTGAGAACGCTTATGTGCGAACCTTCTTTCTTTTTTGGTGAAACGGTGTAGAAATTCATCCAAAACTGATGATGGAGTGATTGTCCATCATGCAGAAAAGCATGGAATGTGGAGCCCAAGATTTCCATGTTATAAAAGGCCAGCCAATCAACTCAATAGCAAACACATGAAAAAGTCACAACATTACTCTAAAACTCTACTGCAATCTAGATGGTTATGCATGTCCTCAAGTGTATAAAAGGTCTTCTTATAGAGGTTGCACCCAACTAGAGTTAAGCTTTCTCTGGCCTGGCCTGGGCCCAAATAGTTACGGTCTTCTCATTAGATTCTTTTACATTTCGACATGCTAAAATTTGTGTTTCAGAGGGAACTGTTTCATTCATGTTCCAAGCTAGAGAAACTCTAACCAGCCCGATAAGAATTACTTGTATTGGTATGTCCCTCGATGCATGAGCACCAACATTTTGACGATGGGAAGGCAATGCAACACAACATTGCTTCCTCGTTCCTCCTAATAATTTGACAAAACATCTTCCTTAATTACCATAGTGAACGAATGAACGAGGACAACGGCTAAGAAAACGGTTCGTGTTAGCCGGAACGTTGACTCTGGCTGGTCAGAGAATCGGACAGCAAATAAACGATCACAGTTCATCTACTTGTAGTTTCATGTTCGAATCCCTCTTTCCCAACAAATTAATATTTATAATTTATATGCAACCAAAAACTATATATTTAATGTTAATTAATTTTCATTATATTTTTCTGAAGTGATTTTGTTTTGTATATTTTTCTTTTACCCCACACGAGACTATAATTCAGTAATAAACATCCATAAAACATGGTTGATTTGAGATCGAAGATAAAACAGTATGCTCAGAGGTGTATTTGTACAAAATGACAAAATGGCCCCAGTTGTTTAAAGGAGCAAAGGTTCCACTCAGGATATGGAGCAAAATGAAAACCAAAGGGAGATGAGCCTCTTTAGAATATCTATTCTACGTATTTTTGAGTAAGAACACACACCAATCATTGTGCATAGACAACTTTTTTGTACCGTTACGGAAGAGTCCAAGGAAAAATGCTAGCAAAACGATCCTCTAGAATCCACAGAGCGAGATATGAATAAGAAAAAGGAAAAGCCTTCTCTTCAAATACCACAGAACCTCTCAAGTTCTAACAGAAAGGACACACTTGGGTTGGTTGACAGGAGCAATTAAACACTCTCTGTGGCATCTCTTCCCGACTCTTCTGTACCCTGTGCTGCACCCAACCTCTCAGCTGCCAGTCTTTCTTCGAGTGCTCGAGCCCCTCTTTCTCTGCAAAAGGCAGTTCAGTCACAAATGAACATTCTTTTTCCCGCTAAAGTTATTTGATTATGCTGGAAGGGAGCAATAAATTCCTTTTTCTTTAATAGTGATACACTTACGGGCATTATTGAAGCCGGAAGGGGGCTAAAGAAATTGTGTCACAGTACAAACCTCTTCACTAATTTGCATATTTATTTATGTGTATTTTATTTCCAGACTATCATACCATCTACTGAACATGAATACCAAAACTGTTTGTAGTATTGAGAACAGAAATGCTACCTCCTTCTAGATGCTTCGATGGGGTCGGATCCAGGCAATGTGGTGCCTCCAAGGGTATAACCTTGGGATTCGCTGGAAGCTTCAAATCTTCCACAGAGCATCCGATGGAATATAGATGCAACAGGATCAATGACTGGTCTGTGACAATTAACAAGAAACACTTGAGAAATGGCAACCTACGAAAATTGTTTTGAAGAGTTCCAAAATAATAACAAGTATTCACCTTAAAAATTCAGGGAAGAATGTAGAAAATGCAAAATCATCACTTGGGTCACCCTTGAGTTTAGTTTCTGGTTTCCTCTGCCAGTATCTGAGATAAATCCAGCTAATATAGGTGCCAAATATTAAAATGGGAAGATATGTTGCTGACTGTGCTGTCCAGAAGCTTATGGCAATGGACAACAATAGTGAGAGAGATGGTAACCACTGCACATAATTGAAACAACAGCAAATTGGGGGTTATAGGACTATTAATTAACCTGCAGAAATTTTCATTAAAACACCATTTTCAAAAGTCCACACCTTAGATTTTATCTTCAATAAAGGCAACTCCTGATCAGGGATGATTTGCTTGATGCCAACCAAGAAACCTGAAAGGACCCCATAGAAGCCAGAAAGAGGCAGATAGCTGGCACAAATGAACAAAAGAAAGTAGCAATATTATGCATGAGATAAAATAAATGATCAAACCAGGCTAACACATGTACAAACATTATTATATACAATTTCATAGATGAACAATGGAAGATATGTGTTGACAGTTTAAAAAATGATCCGTTTCAAAATTTGTGTGCTATTAGAGTTAGCTCTGAATTGCCAATAGATCAGCTTGAAAGGAGGGGGGGGGGGGGGGGGGGTGGTGTTGAGAGTGTAACAAATTCCATGTTTTTTTTCCTATTTCTAACAAACCAACATGCTACAGAATACCAGATAAAAAGAAGCAATAAAGCTGAAAAAGTAGGGAGACAGAAAGAAAGACAAAAATATGAATCACTGGCATCCCCATAACTTTTTTTATTTCTCTGACTGTTTAATGCTATCTTAGTAGTGTACTTACAGGTAATTTTCGTTCATCGTAATGTAGTACAAAGCAATAGCAGTGATGAAAGTGCATATGGAAGTTAGGAAGTTAACTACAAAGATGAACTTCAAGAACTCCCTAGAACCCCACACAGGTTCAAGCAGCTTCCCAATAAAAAGAAGACCAAGAGTGCTAACAACAACCTGTTAAATAAGTGTAAAAGTCAGTACTATTTCTTAAATGAACATAGAGAATCTGTCAGGTACAGAAATTTCAGGCAATAAATAACTACAGCACAGAAAAACTGTTTATGGAATAAGAAGCACATACCCCGTATACTGATTGCTCAATGTAACCGGCTGTTAGGAGGTTCCAGACAAAAGGAATAGTCCTACAACACAGAAGTTTGAATTAGAATTAAGTTGCAGGTAAGAGGTTCCAAATCTAAAGAGGTAAGCTTGCTCTCGCTCTTTATTGGAGTGAACAAGCATAGGGATATGCAAAATTAACTCTCTTAAAAAAAATATGCAAAATTAATCATGTGATGAACCCCAAACCCCAAAACATTATGATTATAAGTCCCTTATTACATTACTCGGAATGAATTTTTTTTTTTAAAAAAAATTATAAAGAAAAAATAAGGCATTAAGTGATAAAAACACAGAAATGTTGAGACCAATGGCAGAAGCCCAAACAGCCTCAAACAGAGAGGTGCAACGACTACTGGGGTCAATAATGCATCATCTGATTCAAAATTTTCAGGAGAAGGCACTAAGCTTCACTAAAAATCAACTTCTAAATTTTTGCAAAATCCAGAATCTAAGGGAAAACAAAGTCTCTAATCAACTAGTCAAAGGACCATCTAAGATAAAACTGCAGGGATTACTTAGCCAATAATATCCCATGCCCCTTGTAATATAAATATGGAACATACAAAGGGTTATCATATAATCCCAATGCCACTAAAGCAGGGCCAACAACCTGAGCTGAGTTTCAGATCAACCCATAAGCAAACGCTTGAAAACATCCTTTTTCACGAAAGTTTCACAAAACCCATCACTGGAAACACAGATTTATGCACTATTTCACTATTCATTTTGGTTAATCTCCCATCCAAAAGCCAACCCACAACACAAAAGCCAACCCAAATTGAACACGCACGCAAAATCGAGAGAAAGACGAAACCTGGCGGGAATGAGCGCTAGATAATTAACGGCCTGAGGGAGAAACTGAACCACAATGTGTCCTCCAATAAGCACCACCGCTAAGCCCTTGCATAGCCGAGTGAACCCAGAGAATGCACCCGCGCCCTGCAAGCCCACCACTCAGAAATTCAATTGAAAAACGCAAATCAGAAGAGAAGAAAAGAAAAGAAAAGAGAGGAGAAATTGTGGGTTTTGCTTACCCCTGAGAGTGATGGAGTGCTCATGGCGCGTGGTCGTTGGACGTTGGATTTGGAGCGGTGATTTGAGATCGGAGTATCAGAGTTTGGGTTTAGCAAAGGAAGGTTTGGGATTTGTACAAATTGTGGATCAGTCCGATCCGCGAAGGAGTTGAATTAAAACAGGCGGTGAATATTAATATAAAAATTGCTGTGATTGGGTAAAGGCGCGACCAATGTTCAGATTGGATTGAGTTACAAGGTTTCCTAAATGTACATTTGTTTTTCATATTGTCTATTTCGTCACGTTATAGATGAAATTTAACATGAAATAAACAACTGCCACATATGAGTATGAGGGCATTTTTGTTTATCAGTCAAAATGTACATCTATTTTTCTTAATAATGTTAGATTTATAAGAACAGGTCTAGCGCAGGATCCAAACTGGGGAAAGGGCCCCCTGGCGAGCCCGAGATGGCTCCAGTGCAAGAGAAGCAGCCTGGTTTCGTGATGAGTCCCACTAGCCCGGGCAAGCCCAAGGGCAACTTCTGCCTGGGCTGAAGCCCGAGTTTTGTGACGTCAACGCTGGCAACACGCTGACGTCAGCACACAGTAAAGTAGATTTTTTTTACTGTTGGCGTGTGAATTATACACGCCAACGGTAAAAAAAATTTGATTTCCGCGCGCTGACATCAGCGCTGGTAGAATCCAACGGTAAAGTGCCACGTGTCGCGATAGGGACGCTTCGATATTTTTTTCCAGAAATCTGACAGTCATTGTTTTTTTACAAAATTAGTGAAAAACCCAATTCTAGACATGAAACTATAAATATACCCTACACTATTTAAAACATAGAAACACACCCAAAAAATACCCAAAACTGATAGCTGTTACATTTTTTAGTTTAATTACTTAAATGAAATACCTTTATTACCCATTTAGTATTAAATTAGTTTTTTGAAAAAATTTTTGGGCTCTCTCTCTCTCTCTCTCTCTCTCTCTCTCTCTCTCTCGTCCCTCTCTCGTCTCTCTCCCTTTGCAGAAACCAGGCCAGCGATATTGGTGCTCCGGCCACGCCCAGCAGTGAGAGCGGTCGGAAAAGGATCGGCCAGGGCCGACGATCAAGTCTGGGCTAAAGCCCAGCCACATCAGCCACTCACGACGCCGCTGCGAGCTCAGAAATGTCTGTGGATTTCAAGTTTTCCGACGTCGTTTCCGGCAATTCCGGCAGTTGTTTCCGTCAATCGAGGTATGAAACTTCATCTACTTTTCGTGCTCTAACTGTTTATGCATGTGGTTAAGATAGATTTTGGAGTTTTGGAAATTAATCAATACACCCTAGTTTGACCGACGGCTTTGGCAGTGTTCTGGATTGGCCACTTTTTGGCCGAGGTCCAAGGCCAAAAATTACTCCCGTTGTTAGTCTGAATATGTTGATATAGGTATTGTAAGGAGTTTCGGGAATTTTTAGCGATAAGTTACCATTTGACTTTGACAGCATGCTTGGTATGTTCGTTTCAGACTCTATTCAGGGTTGTTGGAATGCTAGTAGCATATGTTCTAGCTCCCAAATCTGAGCCAAGCTCCACTTCCGGGTTCGTAATTTTTTTTTTCCTTCAAATTTTCCTCCTAATTTTCTTGCTCATTTTCCGTCAATGAAGATATCGATTTCTATGCTTGCTTATAAGAGTTTGATTGGAGAAGTTTCATCTCTCAGCATAATTAGGATTGTGCTATTGAAATCGCATGGTCGCTAGCTATCGTTCAATGCCAGATTATATCATATTAATTCATTTTATTAAATAAAATTACCATAAATCGTTTATGACTGTTCTTGTGTAGGATTTATGGAAATTGTGTTTGTAATTGTTAGCTAAACCATAGAATGCTCATTGTTTTTTCCTTTTTCCTAACAGTTCATCGAGGAAGCAAATTTAACAGTAGTTGTTGGCTTGTGCAATTGAGGTGCAAAGTAAACTTTTTTCTTAAATGCTTTTAGGCTTAAGAATATCATAGGACCACTTTCTGAGCAATTTTATTATCTGCTCAAGATTCTTTGGAGTTGATAACAATTGTTTTCTCTTTCTCACTCTCCAATCTTCTTCCTCCTTCCCCACCCCTTTTTTTCATAATCTATACACCAACTCTCTAAAGCAGAGGAGGCAAGGTTAAAATCTTAGCATCTATTTTACAGAAGAGAGTATTTGCATGCATGCCTCAGAAGAACCCAAAAAAGCCCAACAAGAAGAAAAAAAAAGCATAAGTAATTTCAGACAAATTATCTGATGTGGTAGAAAATTAGAGTATTGATTTAATGGTTTCTGTTCTGATAATGGAATGCAAAATTCCCTTTTCAAATTTTGTTTGTCTCTCACTATGCTCGGTTTTCTAGCCAGCAATATCCATTTGTTTTTGTGTCACATCAAATTTACTAATCTTAATTAGTAACCATATCCAAGGAAACTGCAAAGGGGTTTGCTCAGTATAAAGTTTGTTGCCATTAGTTAGCAAGGAAGAAGACATTTAATATTTTTTATCAGTGGCAAAAAATGAAAAGAAAATCAAAGCATTGGCAACTGCAGCTCATAGTGTTTGTTTCTGTCATGGCAGTTTTGGCAGCAACTTGTTGCCAGAACAGTTCACCTACAACACTTGTTCTTTCAATTTCAGTTGTATTTCAAGGTTGTTGCTTTACGAACATGGGGTTTTTGCTCTGGGTTCCTAGGTTTGTTCCAAAATGTTGTGTTTTCCGTTATGTTTTCAAGGTTGCTGGTTTATGAACATGAGGTTTTTGCTCTGGGTTCCTAGGTTTGTTCCAAAATGTTGTGTTTTCCGTTATGTTTTCAAGGTTGCTGGTTTATGAACATGGGGTTTTTGCAGTTATACATTTTTATCGTACCTATTATGCAAATGAAATATAGCTGTTAGCTTCCAGTAAGTGGTATGAATAGTTGTTATACTGTTCATACCCTGTAATTGAGTTGATTTCTATGACATAGTATTAACAGTGTACTTCTATGACATAGTATTAACAGATTTTCAGTAGCAAAGCATGCTCTATATTTTGCTCATATAGCTGTGCACTTGAAGTTTATGATATGCATAATATGATTTTCACTAGGAAGATAGTTCTATGACACAGTATTAACAATATACTTTTTTTTTCTTTTTGTAGAGGGCCTTTGCGATTGCTTCTGGTGAAACTATGGACATTTGAAGGTGGTTTTTGCAAAGGATATCAGATATTTTGCTGGGCTTTTTTGGGTTTTTTTTTACTTTTTTTGTATGAAATGGTATTAACAATGTTTTTCTATGAAATGATATTAACATTGTATTTTTATGACATGATATTAACAATGTATTTTTATGACATGGTATTAACAATACACTTCTATGACATGGTACTAACAATGTACTTTTTATGACATGGTATTAACAATACACTTCTATGACATGGTATTAACAATGTATTTCGGGCTTGCTGGGCTTATTTTGGGTTTTTTTTGAGTTTTTTGTATTGGGCTTGTTTTAAGTTAATAAATGGCAGAGATGTAATTTATAGGAACTTTAACACTCATTTTTTAGATAGTAAATGGTTTTTGGGTGTGTTTCTAAAGTCTATTCCATATAGGGTTTTTTTATAATTTCATGTCCTATTTTGGGTATATTACTAAAGCTCCCTTGTTTTTTTGGCTTAAAAAATTGCAAAAATATTCGAAAAAATTCTTAAAAATTCTGAATTTTTTTTTAAAAAATACCAAAAAATTATTTATTTTTTCCCTATAAATACCTAACCATTTTATTCACTTTCTACACCAAATCTTCATAAAAACTCATCTCCTTCCAATATTTTTCACTTTCCACACCAAATTTTCTACTACAAAATTTCATTTGTGCAAAATACAAATGTCATATTCCATCGAAGCTGGAGGGTCGTGGACAAATGTTCGAAGAGGTCAAAATCTTGGCAACGAGGTAAAAAATATAAAAATTTCCGTTTTATTCAATTTAATGTCTTTATATATATATATATATTTCTTGCATTTCCAATTTCTTTTTTTTAATAGATTAGTCAAGGAAAAACAAAGAAGAGGAAAACCATTACACATGGCTCCTCAAGTGAACAATGCCCGCAGTCAGTTCCAGTGGTGCGTTCCGTGTTAGAAATAATGGCACTATTACGTCATCCGAAGGAAAATACTCCCCCACGTCGTGATCCGGTGGAACCGCCTCCGCCAATGATGGAGTTGTCCTTGTATTCCATTGTGTCGGACTATGAGGACCAAGAATATTTCAATTGTATGATGAGTGAGTAGGTATTTCAATTGTATGATGAGTGGGATGTGAATTTTATAATAAATATGGACACGTGGCAACCGAAAATTTTATCCGAAAAATGTTATCTTAAATTTTAAGTGAAAATTTTATAATAAATAGTGACACATGACAACCGAAAATATAATCTAAAAAACTTATCAAAATTAATGGTTTAAAGTATAAAAAAATAGGAAATAAAGTATAATGAATAGTAATTGTCCTAGACTTGCCCTAGACTTTGCCCTCATGGGTGGAACCACAAATGCAAAGGCTGACACTATTCACGTGAATAGTGGCAGCCCTTGCCTTAGACTTAGCCCTTGTGGGTGGAGATGCTCTAAGTCTTAGATTTTTTCCACTAGGTTTTCTAAGGCAAGATTTTGATAAGACCATGTTTGTTCGCTTGAGTCTGTAACTTTTGACAGCTGAATGAAACCTTACTATTTCCCCCCAAAAATAAAAATAAAAACACTAAGCAAAATTACAAGATCAAAACAGAAATTGTACCATACCACAAAACCTAAAATGTAATTTGGGATTCATTTTATTCGAAAAGTTCAACTCAAGCCAATTTAGCTAAAAACAAAAAGAAACTAGTTTTAAAAGAGTAAACTCACCCGCTCTTAAGAAAAAATAAATAAATAGAGATGTTGTATGTATCGTGTTGAATTGGGAAGATTCAACTATTATTTTTGTTCACCAAAAATTTGGATTTAAAATTTTGAAAACGATGCCTAAAATAATTCCAGAGGAATTGTTTCACAAACATGTTCCATGCTAAAACGTCACATATGATATAAAAGAGAGTGTGATAAGGCATCTCTTTATGTATATGGTCTTGCCATGAAGAAATTTGATTTTCTACGCAATAATATCTTGAACTATAGACTTTTGTCTCAACAGCCATATGATTGCAATCATTCAACAAGAAGATGGATTAGAATTTGCTTTCACATATCAACTACCAGAGAAAAATGAAAAAGGGCAAAACAGTTTAGATCTGTTACAACATGGGAAAGAATCCAAATTTTGCACGTCTTGTATTTGCAGACATGCCTACCACCATCTACACAAACATTAATGAGATGTTGATCTCTTACATGCCATCTCATGTATTCAACCCTAAAACGTGCTCCAAAATCTGTATATACTTCTCACCGTTTAATATATGTATTAGGTTGGCTATGGACTGTTCACATACCTCACTATTTTACACTTCTCGACAGCTTGCAATGCCGTCCTTGATCCGCCTTCATCGTCGCATTTGTGGATCTGTTTTTGTAAGTACAAATGGTGATTGAAGAAATGATAGCTTTGCATAGGATCCTGAGTTCAATGCAAGTACTAAGCCTGGTGCGGCCTTAACACCTTAATCCAACTCAAGCAGTGAAAATACCAATATCCCTCTTATCCACCTATCAGTTGCTCCAAAGAACACTGCGAGTGGAAGCCTGCACTCTTAGCTTCTCCAAAAAATGGCTCTATGGGAGCTGAATATGAGCATCATGGGATCGCATATTGCTTTCGAGCAAAAGATATGGGGCTCAAGTAAGCTTCAGAGAAGGATACTAAAGCACGATGGCAAGCCAAAGCTAAAGCTATGGTAAACATAACAAATGAAGTCCAGTAGAACCTCAGCATCAAAATTGGATTTTTCCTTGCAGAGTTTAGTACATTTGAGAAAATCACTTTGAGCCGACGATCTCTGAAGATGGTACGGTAATCATAAATGGGAGTTTTGGAAGATGGTTCTAGATCTCCGTTGTCATGCGCACTTGCCAATCTCAGATCAGAACTACACCGAGTTGTTGTAATGCCCCGTCCAAATGCCGCAAATATCCATTGATATAGAATGTCTGCAATGACACTGCAAAATTGCTGGCGGAAGAACTTTGCCTCCTTGGATACCATTGCTTGGACCAATGAAGCTCCATCCTATTAGATTCAATTGACAATGAGTTTTTAGCTCATAGGATAAGATGACAAGTGATAGATCATGGGTAAAAAGCATCATGTTTCACATGTATTTAACCCTCCATCTGCCTATCTCATTGTTACTTAACCCTCCATTTGACTATTTCATTCTTACTCATGTAAGATAAAGTCCAAATTCGTTCAGCAAGCCATTGTCCTACGAGAGCTACACCAAAAGGTAGACAATACCAGAAAATATGATGCCATTGGCAACCATCAAAGTGAACAGGGAACAAGATGAATTATCACCTAAAATGAAACTAATAGCAGCAAAAGACGATAGTGAGAGAAGGGAACGAGGAAAACGAGAGTAAAAGTAGAAACCAATTAGAAATGAGATAATGTGTAATTACCATACTATCCTTTTAGCCTCTAACCCTAACATTAAATGTGTTGTATCCATAATAGGGGTATATTTCACATTTTCTGTGTGATGATTGATAAAGAGAGTCATCTTAACAATATTATAAATACAACGAGAAAAAGGGACCAGCATAAGGGGACTCACTGCAGTCATCAACAGTCTTCTGAGCACAACACCATCTTTGGATGGCAAAAGCCTCAAGACCAAGTTTGCAACATCAACTGCACCACTGTCCCTTAGTGGTAAATAGCCAAGGGAAGAATCAGCTTTTGATGCTATCATC